ATCTATTTAGATCTCGTGTATAAACTACATACATAGTAACTAAGTGGAAGATTGTAACATCACCACCGTTAGAGTATGATCAATGTAGTCCTCTTATACAAACGGTAGTGGGTCTTGCGGCCAAAAAGAAACAACATGCAGGATACACTATGTATTATTAACAGTAATAGTTTAGTGATTTTCCACCTTCTGTATCTCAAATTGTGGTATTCTAAAATACCAAGTATTTTCATTGAATAAGCTATACTGCAAAGTGGCTTCTTGTATTGTGCTACCTGGCTGATAGTTTCGACGAATTCAACGACGTTAACTTGTCACTGCGATATTTCGCAGCTTAGTGACAAAAAATGTCTGCATTTGACAAACAACATGTGCTGTGGAAAAAAAGCCAGTTTGAGAAAGGAAACCATGAAATGTTTTCTTGTCTCGGTGAATTCTTGGAAGAAAATAAGTTGAATCATAGTCTTATTCATAACGTTGTATCTGATCATCTCGAAAAACTTCGGTGACAAAACTCTTCAGGCAGAATCCAACTCTCAACCTCTTGGGAACTTCTGGATGCTAGCTCACAAAGAATACTCTGACCTATCAAGAAAAGTAATGGCCATGCTTTTGCCTTCATGTCAACATACCAGTGCAAGTCAATATTTTCTGCTCTCACATCAATAAAATCAAAACAGTAATCTTGTCTACTGGTAGAGGGGAATCTCCGAGTTGCTATGTCAACAGTCAGCCAAGAGTGGACCTCATCTTGTCCCAAAATCAAGCTCATCCTTCACACTAAATCGGTGAGTAAACTGAAACTGTTTTCCTTCTGTGTATCATCTTAAGCTTTGTTCTACTTATATAAAGCTCCTTAGACAGGAGGGCGCTACAAAAAAAGTTTGCGCCCCACGGAACTACACCCATAGTGAGTGTCAGGAGAAGTCAGTAGGGGATGTAATATATTCACTGTTAGAGTTTGCTCTATGTAGAGCTCCTGTATGAACTACACCCATAGTGAGTATCAGGAGAAGTCAGTAGGGGATGTAATATATTCACTGTTAGAGTTTGCTCTAGGTAGAGCTCCTGTATGAACTACACCCATGAGTATCAGGAGAAGTCAGAAGTAGATTTAGAGTTAGAGTTTGCTCTATGTAGAACTCATGTATGAACAACACCCATAGTGAGTATCAGAAGTCAGAAGTAGATGTAGAGTTAGAGTTTGCTCTATGTAGAACTCATGTATGAACAACACCCATAGTGAGTATCAGGAGAAGTCAGTAGGAGATGTAGTATATTCACTGTTAGAGTTTGCTCTATGTGGAGCTCCTATATAAACTACAACCATAGTTACTAACTGGAGAAGGCAGTGGAAGATGTAACATTACCATTGATATATTCTGCTCTAATGGAGCTCCTGTATAAACTACAACCATAGTTACTAACTGGAGAAGGCAGTGGAAGATGTAACATTACCATTGATATATTCTGCTCTAATGGAGCTCCTGTATAAACAACAACCATAGTTTGAATACAGAGCAAAATATATTCCTTAACCCTAAATTCAAATAAACCTGAGCCAGGTACAACAGTGTTTATATTCATCTTTCGAGAAGTCGGTTTCATGAAGAGACATTAATCTATATATTTGGGAAGGATTTTAAACGCCTTACATACGCTAAAAAACTAACAAAAAACGGTGAAAATCGTCGTAAAATATGTGCTAATCACTATCCACTAAACAAAAGTCATAGTATTAGGTTTAGTTATGGAAAGGAATATATATACTAAATCAGGCGGTAATCGCTCCGATCTATGTGTTACAATAAGTTTATAACTACACACTTCTCCAAAGTATAACCACGGGTAAATTCAATTTTTGCATAAACCTTTAATATGGCATCATCCCAATTCAAGTGAAGCCGGTTATTGCACTAAGGATCTAACAAGTCTGGCATCAGCGGTTTTATAGCACGTGCACAACACATCCACGTGGCAAATCTTAACTGTGACACTATAATAAGATTAAGCACGCGATAGAACAACAGTACTGCATGTAAAGTCAAAATATACAGTATATCCATTATCCTCTAGTATTTACTTCCCTGACAACTTACTTCTGTAACAGCTGTAATAAGTACACTTCCGGGAGGATTCAAAGCTCGGAAACAGGAAAAACATGTTGAAACATTCTTACACTCTGCTGATATAAAAACCTGAATATAATATGTCATAACCAATACCACAGAACTAAGTCCACGTATGTCATAACCAATACCACAGAGCTAAGTCTACCTATGTCATAACCAATACCATAGAGCTAGGTCTACATATGTTATAACCAATACCAGAGATCTAAGTCCACGTATGTCATAACCAACACCATAGAGCTAGGTCTACATATGTCATAACCAATACCACAGAGCTAAGTCCACGTATGTCATAACCAATACCACAGAGCTAAGTCTACCTATGTCATAACCAATACCATAGAGCTAAGTCTACATATGTCATAACCAATACCACAGAGCTAAGTCTACATATGTCATAACCAATACCACAGAGCTAAGTCTACATATGTCATAACCAATACCACAGAGCTAAGTCCAAATATGTCATAACCAATACCACAGAGCTAAGTCTACATATGTCATAACCAATACCACAGAGCTAAGTCCAAGTATGTCATAACCAATGCTACAGAGCTAAGTCTACATATGTCATAACCAATACTACTGAGCTAAGTCCAAATATGTCACAACAAATACCACAGAGCTAAGTCTACATATGTCATAACCAATACCACAGAGCTAAGTCTACATATGTCATAACCAATACCACAGAACTAAGTCCAAATATGTCATAACCAATACTACAGAGCTAAGGCCACATATGTATTAACCAATACCGAAGCGTTAAGTCCACGTATGTCATAACCAATACCGGAGACCTAAGTCCACGTTGGTCATAACCAATACCAGAAAGCTAAGTCCAAAAGGTTTCCACGATAATTTGTTTATTCTCAATAATTTTAAGAAGTCTGCTCACTTTATCCATGGCTCGTGATATACTGCCCCCCCTCCCAGTAAACTTAAGGACGTTAAAGCTAGTAGTTGGTGATCGATACCCACAATGGTCACAAAGCTGATAGCCCACTTTGTACCTTCAAAAACTATCAAAAGGCAAATGATATACCACTAAACTTTAATGATATACCACTAAACATTAATGGCATACCGCTAAACATTAATGATATACCACTAAACTTTAATGATATACCACTAAACATTAATGGCATACCGCTAAACATTAATGATATACCACTAAACTTTAATGATATACCGCTAAACATTAATGGCATACCGCTAAACATTAATGATATACCACTAAACTTTAATGATATACCACTAAACATTAATGGCATACCGCTAAACATTAATGATATACCACTAAACATTAATGGCATACCGCTAAACATTAATGATATGCCACTGAACATTAATGGCATACCACTAAACTTTAATGATATACCACTAAACATTAATGGCATACCACTAAACTTTAATGATATACCGCTAAACATTAATGGCATACCGCTAAACATTAATGATATACCACTAAACATTAATGGCATACCACTAAACTTTAATGATATACCACTAAACATTAATGGCATACCGCTAAACATTAATGATATAACACTAAACATTAATGGCATACAGCTAAACATTAATGATATACCACTAAACATTAATGATATACCACTAAAAATTAATGATATAACACTAAACATTAATGGCATACCGCTAAACATTAATGATATACCACTAAACATTAATGATATACCGCTAAACATTAATGGCATACCACTAAACATTAATGGCATACCACTAAACATTAATGGCATACCACTAAACTTATATCAAAATTGACTTTTCCGTTTCTTAACTTATGGGGATACTCTTAAATACAATACAATTCAAATATTTGAAACACAGAATATATATAACGTTCGTAAAAATACATTGAATTGAATACAATCTACTAAAATTAAGTGCTCAAAGTTAAAAATAAGCTTACAATCTGAGAAGAAGTCGAGGTTCCGCTGGCTTCAGACTGACAGTTAGAAATGGTCAGTTTCTTCTCACAATCAGTTCTGCTGGTGAAATTAAAGCTGTCAGCTTCTACTATTATCATAACACTCTTGGAGAGCACGTGCTGTGTTTCATGAAATACTCGGTCTTCATTGTATGTCACCTTTCATGCTACAGGAGAGACTCCTACCAGGTGGTGGAGCACACCTACTTCCTTTGTGCAGGATGGACAAAAAAAAAAGGTAAATATCATCAAAATAAAAATAACATTAATTATTAAAAACGTCTGTTTAACAATAATATATATATATTTAGGTTTCAAACACATCAATTTTGTATATGTGTGGATCTCTTGAAATTGCAAGTTCGCCTTAGTTTTGAATTTGTTTTCACTTATACTTTGCATTTGTTATCACGTTGTGTGCGTGTTTGGCATTTTCAATCTGAACGTCACCTTACGCGATATACGCACGGGCTGTAAACGGCCGGATCAGGGACCTCAAGATTCGTTAACAGCCATCTCTAATTTAGGCCTGCTGATCAGAGGTAGAGAACCATTCAGTAGCAGCACATATTGCTTCCAGATACTCATAACCTTATACCGGAACTGACAGTCATGATTATAACTTACCCAGAGCTGAAAGTGCAGTGTGACTTTAATTTTGGAACTTTCAATCTGCAATCCAGCACATTAACCATTGTCACAAGCCCTGCTTCGCTTCGGAATTTTTTTTTCAACGTGTTAATTTTAATGGCGATTACCAAGTTAAGTCCACAGAAGATTCAGCCGGTTGTGATTTTGTATTAAATAAAACATCGTCTTAACATCTGATTAAATCAGGTATGATCCTAATCTACGATTAAATATTGTCCTAATCTGTGATTAAATAAAACATTGACCTAACTCTGATTATATTTAACATTGTCATCTTTAATTATCTAAAATATCGTTCTAAATCTCTAATAAAATAGAACGTCGTTTTAATTTCAGGTTAAATACAACATTTTTCTAACTCCGATTATAGAAACAAACATTGTTATAATCTTTAATTAAATAAAACGTCGTTCTAATCTTTTTTTTATTTCAAGTAAATGAGCAGCTAATAACGTTTGACAGAAGTTTTGAGATTTCCGTTTGTATTTTCTTGCGAGGTTCTTAATTTTGGTAAACCTGTGTATTTACTCTATCTTAATCCAAGAATTACCGCAGGTTACAGGGCCCATAATAAAATACTAGTCACACGAGCAAACTAAATGGCACAGATGATTTTACAGGGCCCCTAATAAAATACGAGTCACACGAGCAAACTAAATTGCCCAGGTGGTTTTACAGGGCCCATAATAAAATACGCGTCACACGAGCAAACTAAATGGCCCAGATGGTTTTACAGGGCCCATAATAAAATACGCGTCACACGAGCAAACTAAATGGCCCAGATGGTTTTACAGGGCCCATAATAAAATACTAGTCACACGAGCAAACTAAATGGCACAGATGGTTTTACAGGGCCCCTAATAAAATACTAGTCACACGAGCAAACCAAATGGCCCAGATGGTTTCAAGGCCCATTATAAAATACGAGTCACACGAGCAAACTAATGGCCCAGATGGTTACAGGGCCCATAATAATATACGACTCACACGAGCAAACTAAATGGCCCAGATGGTTTCAAGGCCCCTAATAAAATACGAGTCACTCGAGCAAACTAAATGGCCCAGATGGTTTCAGGACCCCTAATAAAATACGAGTCAACAACCAAGCTAAATACAAATGTCAATTTCACTAATTGCTGCCGAGGTCTCTAAAGTATTTTACATAAAAAAGGGTTATTGCGTGTGTTGGGGAAGTTGGGGGAATTATTTACATTTGGTGTTGAAGCAGATAAGAAACTGAAAATTACTCAATAACCCCGATGCAATACGTGGACCCCACGTATAAGAAACAAGTAGGCATTTCGAGGGTTAAATGTTAAACAACCTAATGTTAACTACCCAGTGTAAAAGAATAGTGAATCAAAAACTGAAATATTAAAACTGTGATTATTAGAAAAACGCCGAGTTCTGAATAACCACAAAAATGGTGAATTCTTAAATCACGTTTGTTTGTTTTACGGATTGTGTTTGTTTGTTTGTTTTAGCGAAAAAGATACACAATCGGCCAGTCGCCCACCGCATATTTTAGCGCCGAAAATCCGTAAACTTATCGCTTCCCCATCGGAGGAGACGTCATAAACAGAATCGCCTGTAATGAGAGATGTGTGGTCAGTTGTTGATCCATTGAACGGACATCTTAATTTTTACTTATTGTCGAGTTTTCCAACAATAGTATGCACGTGATCAGTTTCCCTATAAACGAGTTCCGCACTTAGAGGGATGTAAGTGACGGTCAAATCTGCCCATTCGATCGGATAAAAGTAACCTAAGATGGAACGCTATGTACAAAACCAAACGTCAAGTTTCACGACACCTAGGGGTCACAACACCAAACTAAGAGTCAACATACACGTTAACCTAAATTATATAAAAATAACTATACTCACTCATCCCTACGCTTTAGCCAGATGAAAAAAGAACTCAGATTGACTTGGGATTTTAATAACTAAAAAGAACGTATATGTGCCGTATGATGTTGTTGTTGTTGTTTTTGTTTAACCAGAAGTTTGTTTGTTCGTTCTGAATATTGCGTAAAGTTACCCAAGGGCTAATTTTGAAGGGATAGACTAAGAAGAAAGCAGCAAGACAACACTACGCACCGCCAACTCTTGGGCTACTACTTAACATCGAATAGTATGAAAAGGCAAGCATGATCGGGGACGGGATTCGAACCCGAGACTCTCAACAGACCAGGAAGATGAGTTAAAAGATGCTTGGAAGTTCTATGCTTTACTATATACAACAAGTCTAACAACCCCATGGTGCTGTTCTGTACAACAAGTCTAACAACACCATGGTGCTGTTCTGTACAACAAGTATAATAACAACATGGCGCTGTTCTGTACAACAAGTATAATAACACCATGGTGCTGTTCTGTACAACAAGTCTAATAACACCATGGTGTTGTTCTGTACAACAAGTATAATAACACCAATTATTATACTTGTTGTACAGAACAGCACCATGTTGTTATTATACTTGTTGTACAGAACAGCACCAAAACATGGTGCTGTTCTGTACAACAAGTATAATAACAA